TGCTGATGTAACCTGGCAAATCAGGGGGGTGTGCAGATGTGTGAAAATGTGTTATGTCTTTCCTAAACTATACTTAAATATAAATTTATGAGAAAATCTTTAAATAAGTATTTATACATATTTTTTTAAGGTATATATGTATATAACTTTTTTAAATGATTACATAAATACGATTAAAATAAAGGTTGTTTATGAAAATGTGACATGTTAAGCATAGTTACTACGGTCAAAATACTTTTTTACATCTTTCAATTTTTTTTAATCTAAATTCACCAAAACAAAATTCAACCCCAAAATTATTTAACTTCATTCTTCTTTAGAGAAATTGCACTTTCTCTAAATGAAAGGAAAATGAAATAGAAATTGTCTTTACATTACAAATTTAGTATCAATTATATCATTTATAATGACACACTATATGAGTATATGCGCGGATGACTTGCCATGAAAACATCTTGTCACTACCATCTTGCTTGTTAATCTGTTCCCCTGATACAGAAATGTTTAAATTACAATTATTTGTGTTTTGTACGTAATAAAACTTTTAAAATAGATTTCATAAAATATTGTAATCATCATCATCATCACCCCAGTGCCGGCAGTAATAAAAAAAATCACCCGCGCTATGCACAAATGATTGTGAAGAAGATTTTTTCATTTTCACATTAAAGATATATATATATATATATATATATATATATATATATATTAATCTAAGGCAAATTTAGTAATACGACTTGTGTGACCTTACATTTATGACTAAGTAAGAGGGTGACCTTACCTTTATAAGAATTGCATATTCAGATGAATTGCCTTGCTAAACACGCAAATCAGGGGGTGCAAATATGTGAAAGTGTGTTATGTCATTCTTAAACTATAGTTAAATACAAAGAACAAATTTATGAGAAAATGTTCAAATAGCTCCTTCTAATATTGTAGAAGACGAATTTAGGTATTTTTTGCATTTTTGAAATAATTACATAATTATGACTAAAATAAAGATTGTTTATGAAACGTAACCTCCTAAATGAAGTGACTATAGAGTTACTTTTCTCAGGTAACTTATGTTCAATATTCAATTTTCAGACTGGTGTTGTAGATTGTCAATTATTGAACTTTTTCATTACTATTTGTATTGTATAGATCAATATCGACCCATGGAGCTTACCAAAATAATTCATCGAGCTTTATACAATAATAATTCATTTGTATTTATTTTGACAAACTAAAATAATAAAGCATTGATGTTGACATTTCTAAGAGGGAACGTTGTTCCTTAAAATTCTCTTGCTTTTATATTAGAATAGATATCCAAGTATGGTCTAGTTTAGTTTGTTTAAGTTTGGTTTGATTTGAGACTGGAATAAGTCTAAGTATAAATATCTCAAGAAATATGGTGAACTATGCATTTATACGAATTACATTTGTTACACGAATTGCCCGACTAAATTGGCAAATCAGGGGATGTGCAAATATATGAAAGTGTGTTATGACATTATTAAACAATACTTAAATATGAATTTGCGAAAAAATATTCGTTCCTATGTCATCGTTTGCAATGCGTTTTTTTACGCTCGACAATTGGTTCCTATTGTTGACACACCCACGTATAGTTGATCATGATTAAAAACATGTTTTACCAACAACAAATCAACAATCATGACATAAAAAAGTCATGGTTTGGAATTATCTCACCCGGAACAGAAAAAGCAAGCTAACATTTGAGGGTATTAAGGAATGTTTGAGAACTAATACGGAGACATTAATTGCCGAGTTATTTCTTTAATCAATTTGAAAACAATTTGGGAAAAAATCTAGTTCTAAAAAGGTTTAGCATTTACATCAGTTAGTAAATACTCCCTCCGTCCCTTAAAACTTTGCCAACTTTCCCTTTTTGGTTGTCCCAATAACTTTGCCACTTTCTATTTTAAGTAAAGAATTTGTGGTTCCAGTTAATTCTCTCTCCTCTGCACAAACCTCAACCACACAGTTTTTACTTTATTAATCTCCGTGCCGGTCAAACTTGGCAAAGTTTCAAGGGACGGAGGTAGTATATATCAATGCTAATCCAACGGTCACATGAGTTGGAGTGCGTCGCACCTTCATCAATGACACTCCACCGACCAAGACTTAAACTCTGACCAACCCATATATAGATGGTGTTTGATTAGTGGCCTATCAGACATTTTTTGACTGATTTGACTGATTTTGGCCTTTTGACCAGCTCAATCAGCTAATTTAAGGTGTTTGGTTAAATGACTTTTATATTTAGCCTTTTGTTCCAAACAGCCAACATAATAAACGCCACTATCCTTAGCGTTTTGGGCATGGCCGTTTCTATCACGATCTTGTTTTCTTATTTTATCCTAAGTAGCTATTGATTTTGTTCCGATAAACTATATCTAGTTTGCTATAACAATGAAAATCAAACTTGTCGGTACTTTAATGATCACACCATGGGCCATAAGGCTAACAATAATGGACAATTTGACTTTTATTTACCTCACATTTATATAAGAATTTTTGCTCCTAGAATAGCCATTTTAATAAATAATAACTCAAACATATACCTTTGCCACTTAACAAACGAAAGACTACTGACCTCAAAACAAAAATTAAAGATTAGGGACGGTAGAGTTTAACAAATTAAACACTAATTTAACAAATTAAACATTTGTATAAGGAATTTGCTCATAACGAAATTAAAAATACTAATTCAATTTATTAATTTGTGAAAATGTTTAAAATGACTATAATCTGTGTTAATACATTTTATTTTATTTTAATTCATAAAAACGGTTAAGTAAAAAAAAAACTCATCAAAATGGTTTACGTAGTTGTGCTAATTACATTAATAAAAAATTAATTCATGTCCTTAATAGTCATTTACCAAATTATCAGCTGATTGTAAACATCAATTTAACCAAATACTAACTTACAAACTGCTAATCTCATCAGCTAACTAAAACAGCCTACAGGATCCGCTTTCATCAAACAACTAACACGATCAACCAACAGCCAACGGCCAATTTCCAAACACCCCCATAAACTCTATGAAGCTTATCACCCACCACCAGGCGCCAACCTAACTGGAAATCTTCAATCTACCACCATTTACCACCAAACCATATGCCGGTGCGATGTAGTACAAAAATTCTACCAAAACAATCACAACCTACCGTGGATGTGAACACAAAGTTTATATACAAAAACAGTTGAAACACACAACATAATACAAAGTATATAATAGTGCAGTCTTCACCCAACATAACACACAACATAATACAATTTAATTAAATATAAATTAAATTGTATTTAATTTTGTATTTTTATTTATATAAATATAAATTCAGTCGAATGATATCTCACATACGGAGTATAAAACTTTTATTTAAGAACTAAATAAAAAAATAAGCTATCTAATTTTTTTTAGCCGGAAAGAGACGAAACAACGAAGTTGTATGTGAGTGAGATATGTGCTTCATAGATTTCGAGTTTTTCAGTTCTATTTATAATGTGCTTCAGCCTCTATTTTGACTTACAAATCCACGCCAAACTGTTCCAAATAGTGTCAAATAATGTAATCTACATTAAAGTCAAATTTATTTACTTAATATACAGTAAAATCAAATTTATTTCTTTAATGTTTGTGAAGTCAAACTGTAAAGATGAATAAGAAGGTGTGTCTAAACCAAAAGAGTGCAACTATTAGGGGTGGGCATAACGGTTTGGTTTAACCGAACCGAACCGTACCAAACCGAACTAAACCGAACCGAAACCGAACCGTATGCAATTTGGTTTTAGTTTGGTACTATTTCTTTCAAACCGTATTAAACCGAACCGAACCGAACCGAAACCGATAAAAACCGAACAAAACCGAACAAAACCGAACCGAACCGAACAACACACACACACACACACACACACACTTTGTATTTATCTTCACTCTTCATTTTACGATATAAATAAAAAATTTAGACATGAAAATGCATATTTAAGCATATACTCGTATTATTTTAACTTTTACACATTTCAAACATTCATTACGACAAAGTTAGCTAATACGACATATTTGTATTTATTATGGTTGGCGATATCAAGAGCAAATTGTATTTATATTTCTATTTCTATTTCTGTGTGAGTCTTTGGTTTAGTTTGTTTCAATTGGTTTAGCAGGTGAAGGCAGGTTGTTTAAGCTAGGTTCTAGTATTTCATTTAGTTGGAATTTCAATTGGCAGGTTGTTTAAGCAGGTGAAGGGAGGTTGTTCAATTGGTTTGGTGAAGGCTGGTTCTAGTATTTCATTTAGTTGGAATTTCAATGAAAACAAAACATTCAAAATTACTCTTTACTCAAAGTGGATTGTAACATATGAAAGAAGACATAATCATTTTCAAGTTTATAAACCGAACATCAAACCGAACACCAAACCGAACCGAACCGAATTTTTCCCAAACCGAACCGAAACCAAACCGAAATTCTTTTGGTTTGAGTTTGGTACTATTTTCCTCAAACCGAATAAACCGAAACCGAACCGAAACCGATAAAAACCGAACCGTAAACCGATTCGCCCACCCCTAGCAACTATATTCAAGAGACATGGGACTAAACAATACGGAGTAATATACGGAGTACTATTCAAAATGAACACGGATTTTCCATCAAAATCGACCTTTGCCCCTTTAGTTTTGGTTTTGACAAAAGAAAATCAACGCATTCCAGATTTATAATACAGAGTTACGTATTTTTTTTTATGTATGCTTGTTGTACCCATCACTTTGTACCCACCTTATACTCACCTCTATGAAAACTATTTTTTTGTCTGTGAAGCCGGTTCACAGACAAAATATGTCTTTGAATTCCTTCACAGACATATTTTGTCTGTGAAGGAATTCACAGACAAAAAAATAACTTCACAAACATGAGTGGGTACAAAAGTGGGTACAAACATCATTTTCCTTTTTCATGAATGTCCAATTCAAGTTTAAGTCTATTGACCTCCGTTGGCTCCCCATTTCTTTTTCCTTCCCATTCCAGATTCTTCCTCTCTCCTCCGCTCATCTCCAGTATAGTATCTTCCGCCCCCTTTCACAGTCCTTTCTTCTGCTACCAAACAAAATAAACCCCCACCCTTCTGCCATCCCTTTTCTCCCCCTATAAGCTTGTATCTCGCCACCATCTCTCACAGTGCCGACACAGACGCTCATCAAGTGCTTGGCTTAAATCTGCAATCGCTATTCCTCCAGATGGAATCTTTAGTATCTTTTTTTACAGATCTGACTTTAGAGGGTAAAAGAATTCATTTTAATTACTTGCGTTTTATTCACACTTTTTCTCAAACCATTTCTTTATTTATATATTACTGATACTACTCCGTATGTACTATGTATAATTTACACTTCAAAGGGTGCCTTACAGTTATTTGCTGCAGTAAAGAATTACCATTTCTTATTTAATGATGCTATTTCATAGGAAGCATAGTATCCAACTTCAAAGTCCAATCCAAGTTACTGCAATTCTCTAAGGATTTGGTCTCCAGGCAAACTGGTTGAAGATTTGAAATAGGTATACTCAGTATTTGGATCTTTATACTCCGTATAAGTTTTGTGAATTAGTTTATATAAATAATCTACTTTTCCACCAAATATTTGCCATCTTGTGCAAGGTAGTAAGAGACCTGCTTTGCCGCCTCTCTTTCCCCCAAATATTTGCCATCTTGTACATATCAGGAATGCTCCAAGCCTGGTGAAACATAAATTTTCTCAGCACACCAGCTTAAATGTATAACAAATTTGATCCACTTGTTCTTTTTTAAAATCAATGTAATAAAAGATAAATTTAGGAATGAATAAACAATAATTTACTTCAATTTACTTGTTTTGGATTGTAAAACGAATAATTTTCTTCAATTTACTTCATCTCTCTATTGCTGGATCAAAAATAATAATTTGCTGATTTGTAAAAAACCTTTGCCATATGCAGGATGGTGAGCGTCCTTTTTTTTGGAATTTTGTACTTCATTAATATGTACGTAGTATCTCTTAATCGGTCAATTTGTGATCCTGGTTTGTAAATTAAGTTTGTTTGTAATCCATTTTCCTGAAGTTTATTCCTAATAAATAGATATAGGTTAGAATTAGGAGAAGAGGCCCAGCAACTGAGTTCGAAGGTACGTCTCAGAAACGGAATCTTTAATCCCCAAATTTTTTATGCTAATAAAATTGCATCTTTCTATCCATCTATCTATTAATGATATCTAAAACTACAAAAACGATCGAAGTCACTAAAAGAAAAGTAGCATCTTTATGGATAGTTTAGATACATGTGTGTTAGGACAAATTATTACAAAATTTTTACTTTGAAATTGCAATTTTGAATTTATTTTTCAAGAACATAAATGAAATATGATTGACCCCTTTACACATGCCTTCAAAACGGATTAGTGAGATAATAAAACAATATTAACATGAATTATAGTTGTGAAATTAGAAATTAAAAATGTACCTATCCTTGTCTTCTCATTGATAATATCTTGCACTTGTAATGCTGCAAATGGAACACAAAAGAATGTTCTTAAAGTTAAGGGAAAGTTAGGGATTTCCAAACATTAAGTGATAATTTTAAATGTTTGGAACCTCTTCAGCAGAATGAAATATAATTTCGAGCAAATCAGATAAGCACTCATTAGCAGGCACTCTGAGCACCTTAATTTCTCTGGCTTTCATTGATCAAGTAGTCTTCTTATGGTAGCTGCATTAACTTTAAGGTTTTAGTGAGGAATTCATACGCTAGAGCCTGCTTTTATAGACAAAATTTGTATGGGCATGAGGGCATCCATTGAGCATGGCCGTGTGAGATATGCTTTAGATATTTCTTTGTTTATTTTTTCCTACCTAGCTAGAGCTTTAAAAATGCCTTTTCCTTCAAACTACGTCGGCAAAAGATATCCCAAATCTGGATTACTGTTCCCACCTCTTTATTGGCCAATTAGAATCGAATCTAATAATCTATCCAACAGTCCCACCAATTAGAATTGAGTCATGCGATTATGCAACATATCAACATTTAAAGTAAACAGTGCCACCGCAAGTTTTAACCAATAGCGAGTTAGCAACATACGTATTTCAGCCATGTGAAATAGAAATATCTTGATGAATAGTCACCTCAAATTTCATCAAAAGCATGATGTTGACATTTTTGGGAGGGAATCCTGTTCATCAAGAAAGTGTGCTTTTATATATTAATAGATTAGGCTAAGTGTTACAATATTTAATGATTATGAAAATGTGTGGGTGGCGTGGAATTGTAAATCAATCCACTTTGTAAAGGAACTAATAAACCTATTTACATATATGTTCTTGTCATTTACGATTCTTTTCTTGCCATCATTATCAAAATTTTATCGAGGCTAGCCCGGTACAATATATTTGTCGAGCAATTGGAGCCTGAATTTGCTACAAGTCAAGAATTAAAGACAATTTGAACACCGAAATAATTTATAATACGGATTTGCAAGCAGTTGAAATATGCCCATTCATACGAATTTGAAACTGAATCTTTTATATATGTTTCATTCTTTCAAGTGATTTTAGAATCGTACACATTATTATCATAGAGATTTAGAGAAGGTGAAGCATCTAATATCTTCGATTGGCCCAAGAGAAATGGGAGAGTCACAGTAAACTAGTAAAGCGTACTAATAATGGTCCATGATCTCATATTATCCTTACGATAACCAATGATGGATAGTCTCAAGTGGGGCGTTAGCATACAATGAAATTGCCCATCTAATATAAAATTTTACAGAAGGGGAGTGTTCAGAAATGTCAACGAGAATGTTTCAAAAACAAAAAGAAATGTTAACGAAAAGGGGAAATTTTATGAAAATGGAATGTAAGATAATGAATGATGAAAGAAAAAGAAGTGGTCGAACAAAGAATGATGGTATGAAGGAAAGAAATGATCGAATAAAGGGTGGTGATCCATTAATCTATATGCAGGGGCGAAGATAGGATATGACCAGTCGACCAGAGGGGGGAAGTGAAATAAAGAAAATAGCATTTAAAATATAAGTAAAAGTGTAATTAAAGAGAGTAAATTATTTCCTAAAATAGAATGAAAACCTTTTTATGAGACATTTAAATAAGGAAAGTGAAAATATTTTAACGGGACGAATGAATTATAAGAATTATGTCAATCAATAGTTTTATATATGAGAATAACAAAAAATAGTGAGTAAAAGGTTACATTTTTTCTTTATATAATATCAAGTAAAAAAATTGGAGCAATTATTGAGGGAAAGATCCCGCCCAAATTAAGGGCTCAAGGGCATAATAGGCAATTAATGTAAAATGCTAGAATATTTATCCTGCCCAATTCAAAAGTGTGGCACAAAAGTAATCTTATTAATATTATTATGGATGGAGAGCATTTATTGTCATCTTATTCATGTATCTTATTAATCCCGCTTATGAAAGAGTAATGAATGTAATCTAATAATAAATATATTTTTGTCTGATTTTATAGATTTCCTGTTAATTTATTGGAATAGTATTCCACTGATATCATATATGGGTACCACACACATTGAAAGAAATTTTAATACATTTCAAATAAGTACAAAATTAAGTATTGATTTAATATTTCACACTTACCTTGCAAATCTAATCAAAGGAATAAATTAATTATATACAGAGTAGTCAATAGTCTAAAGTGTATGGAGTAAAATTTAATCGCGCCAAAGATAATCAAAGACTAATTTATTTGTCTAGACGAACTATTCAATGAGTAGTTTAGTTATCCCGCCCAAACATTTAATTACATGAGGCTACAATGTGATTTTTTCGCATTGGTCATGTTGACGAATGGGGAAGTTTATGAGATTTGGTGGTCAAAATAGGATATGAAATATTGGGATCAGAATATTAGAGATGAAGAGATCGTCATTGATATACCTGATGATATGCTTATTACTACTTCATGTGATCCTATTGCTTCAATTGTTTAATTGCTAGCACTTATCCGTCATTTCTGGATAATACAGCTTATCAAAGACATATTTGAAATTTGACAACACATGCTCACTTGAAGGCAACATTGTCGCTGAATTCGATGAAGCGCATACTCAAGAGTTTTTTAACACCATTGATGCATCAGGGATTCCAAACCATGAATTGGAACTAAAGGTTAGTGTTCCTATTATGATAATGAGAAACATTGATCAATCTTCTGACTTATGTAATGAGACTCACTTGATTATTACTCGGTTGCATAAATGTGGTTTGGAGGCATAGGTTATATTCTGCAAAAATTGGTCAGAGGTTTTGATTCCACGACTATCATTGATTCCATTAGATAGCAGAATTTCTTTCAAATTTCAACACAGGTAATTCTTAATCGTTGTTTCATTTGCCACGACAATAAACAAAAGCTAAGGAATATCTCAACATCAAGTGAACATATTGCTTCCAAAATATGCTTTTACGCACAGTCAATTGTATGTTACCATGTTAAGAATCACCTCAAGAAGTGAGTTAAAAATTCTTATGGGTGATGAAGAGGGTCATACTATCAACATCACTAATGATGTGGTCTATAAAGTAGTTTTCCAAAATCAATGAAACTTTTTTGAACATTATCTAACATATATGATTGTTCTATTTTATAAAGTTTTATGACACCCCTAATAATTGTACTACTAAGTTATTTAATTGTCATACATAATTTATTTTTATGCCTTATCGTTTACTTTTATTTTACATGCAAGTGGCAATTTATCATACGATTCATATTATCATTTTCTTACAGCTACTACAACGTATATAATAAAAGTTAAAACATAAATTTTATCAACTTTTTTTATTTTACAAAATTACAAATTATGCATCTTCATAAAATGTAATTTTATACTGAGTATAAGTTATTATTCAGTTCTAGATATATCCCGTGCATAACATGGGTACATCGTCTAGTAGAGATTAGAAGGTGAAGCATCTTATATCTTCGATTGGCCTAAGAGAAATTGGAGTCACAGTAAACTAGTAAAGCACACTAATGATCCATGATCTCATATTATCCTCACGATAGCCAATGGGGGATAGTCTCAAGTGGGGCGTCAGCATAAAATGAAATTGCCCGTCTAACATAAAAGAGCTGGATGAATCTCTCGATCTCTATTTTTTAAATTTGCTTCCATATAACTTTAGGGCCCAGGTAAAAACAACGTACTTTATTGTACTAACTACTAGAAGGACTAATATAATAGTCCTAACAAATACGGAGTACTACGTAAAAGATTTTGGGGACAGGGGCAAAAAAAATAATCATAGCTAAAAATAACTACAAAAATAAAAGTTGGGGAGGGGGCCTGACCTCCTTGCTTGAATACGTACCTCCGCCCCTGTCCATATGAATGGTGCATTGGTGTGGATTAAAATGTATTGATATAAGACGCAAGGAAGATTTACGACACTCAAAGAAGATGAATTTCAAGAAGAACGGGTTCAAGTATCAAACACGGGACCAAACTCGGACTCAAGGAGCAGAAAAACGGAAGAAAACTCAACTGAAGTCTGAAGGGGTGCACATGATGTACACGCGAGTTGGCTTTGATATGCAGCCAGGAATATTGGTGTAAGACGAATTTTGGTGTAAGACATAACACAATAAGGTTGGGGTTACTTTTCTGACTGAATTGGCTGAAGTTACTATATCGGATTACTTTAACTATTTTTCCATAAAAAAATTTCTTGATTTTCTTTAAAATATATTTTTTCAATACTTTTTTGGTGTGAGACAGTAAGACAATATGGCATATGAGAGTGTACCTCGAGAAGTTCTTTAGTAAACCTTAACTAGAAAAGGCATATCACGTATATCAGTATCATTATGGATATGACAGAGTTCCCTATTACTATCGGAGTGCACAAAGGATCAGCTCTGAGTCCTTTCTTATTTGCTATAATCATGGATGAACACTTACGAAGTCAATTCAAGAAGATATACCGTTGTAACGCCCCTCTCAGGGTTAAAGGATACGTTACACTAACTTACTACTTTTAAAAATAAAGAGAAATATAGCGGCCGTCTATTTAAGAAAATAACCCTGATAAAATCTCAAAAATAACTAAAACAACTCCAAACAAAAACTGGATAAAATATAGTTATCACCAGGAAATGTGATAACCACCTGGATCCAGGAATTTATTCAAACATCAAATCCTTAAATAAAATAATAATAATAATAATAATCTCTTTATTATAGCACTTAAATACTGAAGCTAAATAATATCTAGCAAAAAGCCGCCAAGGCCGTTCCCGTTAACTCATCTTGGCACGCGTTCCACTCCCTCATCATCTTCCCAGGCCTTGGCCTTGCCCTTAGTATCTGTACATGCGAAGAAAGAAAACTGATAAGCTTTACGCTTAGTAAGTCACTATGGCTCCACAAAAATATCTAGAAGTCTAGGTCAATTTATCAATAGATAAATTTAGGCTATAAGCATGCACTGAGCAAATAACTAACACATAACTTCTCATATACATTCTGAGGGAGATCTCAAAAGAAAAAATATTTCCTAAAATAATTTCTCAAAATAGCTGGAGAGATCTCAAAATTTCTTTCTCAAAACATCTCTGTAAAACTTTCTGAAAGAGATCTCAAAAACAACTTTCTGTAAAACTTTCTGAAAGAGATCTCAAAAACAACTTTCTGTAAAACTTTCTGAAAGAGATCTCATTAAACTTTCTATAAACTCTTTGTGGCTAATTTTAACTGTGGGCCCGTGATATGTACTCAATGGCGCCAATCCGACAGCTCAGGGGAGCGACCCACTAAACATATCGGACTAGACCTAGACTCGGGCCGGTTCGGGCCCGGCCGGGCCTCGGGCCAGGATAGTTGGGCCCGGGCCCGAACCGCCGGTGGGCGGTTCCGGTTCCGGTTCCGGGCCAAACCGGGCCGGGTCGGGCCGGGCCTAACCGAAAATATTTTTTTTTTTTGGCTCTTTTATTTAACCCCCAACCCCTCCCCCTCAACCCCAAACTACCCCAAACCACCTCAAATGGCCCAAAATACCTAATCCAACCCAAAACTTAAAAAAAATTCAAAAAAAAAATAATTAAAAATCGGACCGAACCGGGCCGGTTCGCCAAAACCTCGGCCCGAGCCCGAACCGCCCAGCAGCCGGGCCGGGCCGAACCGAACCGGTGGGCCCACCGGGCTCCGGGCCGGGCCGGGCCTCACAGTAACCGGGCCGGGCCGGTTCCGGGCCGGGCCGCCCGGCCCGAGTCCAGGTCTATATCGGACTATCTAAAACTAAAAATGCTAATCTGAGGGATCTAGTTCCCGAGTACATATCACTTAATCTTTCACTTTAAGTATTAGTTCTTTTTATGGTGACGTTTGACTAAACATCATTAAATCTGGAAACGAAAGTACTAACAAATCTTGACTATGCCAGATAATAAACATAACTTAATCTAGCAATAAAATAACTCATCACATAATTCACATAGTTCACATAATAGCAAATAGTCTAAAATTATCTATTAAAAATCAACCAGACTTCTTGCATTTGGTTGAACAAACATGTACAGGTGGTAGTGAACTTACCTGTAAGCAGCTGAACCCAAAATACTCAAACAAGTGTGTCACCTTGATAACGTCTTCCGGTAAGCTCTTCTTAAAAGTCTTTAAATAGATATAATATAATACTCGTATTAATAATAATAAAATCAGACTTCATTGACTTTCAATGAACTGCCTAACACTAGTTTTATTGGAAGATGCTATTAGAGAAATTCCAGAAATTCGGTAAAACTCATTAAGCTTAACTATGAAACAATTACTTCAGAGCTAACACTTAGAATTTCGATTTCTTGCTGCAACCCACCAACTATCCTGATCCAGTAACTGAACACTAAGAAAACAATCTTCTTATCTTAGAAAAATTATTAGAAAAATCATTATGCAGCTGACCAAATTTGTGGTTACTATTCAAATAAAAGAACGACCAGAACAGCCCTCATCAAAATATTAAATAGAAATTTGTTCACGGGCCTTTTTTATTAAAAAGAACCTGCTAGTTGGAGCTTTAAAAGGTGCAGGGAAGGATTTCACAAGAAGAAAAAACTGAAATATGAGATTTATGTGCTAAAACCATTTGCAAGGACAACCGTTTCCACATCCATGGACCTTATTAACCAAAAGCTAATTAGAAATTTGAGCTCCACCAGTTTAAACTCAAAAACGCAGCAAAGAAAGTATATATGAGAGGATAGCCCACACCAAATATACCTTAACTTCACACCACTCCAACTATTAAAAAAACCTTCACATATCATCGTAGTGAAATTTGCACAACCTAAATAAAACATACGGCTAACACCCCCCTCCAGCAAACAACAAAGACAAAGAAAAACATTGAGGACTGAAAATTTAATCTTACCAGATGTGACCGAATTGATAAACGAATTGAATACCGGCGTTCGAAAGGAATATTTTGGTGAGTAGAGAAAGAAAAGAACGGACTGCTATGGAAAACGTTTCGAGAGCTTCAGGGTTTATATGGTGAAATGTATTTATGCATAAATCTTAGGGATTTCAACCTTAAACATATTTACCTGGGCTTAGTTAACTGAATTGGGCTTCTAAAACATTAAAAGTATTTTCTGTTTCAAAATAAACTGACTAAGCTTTAAAACATTACTTATTTCTCTCCTTAAAATTATTAGAGTTTACCGGTCAACGTTACCTGCCAGAATAACACAGATCAAACAATAAATCACATTACTCACAAAATAAACTTATTTAACTGACTAAATAAAATAAAAGAGTAATGTAACTACATCGCTAAAATTGGGGTGTTACAACCGTGGTGCATGATGTTTGCCGACGAATATGATCCTCATGACAGCCGGTGGTGAATAGTCTCAAGTGGGGGTTATCATTAAATGAAATTGCCCGTACGTCTAACATAAAATTTTATAGAAGGGGAGTGTTCAGAAATGTCAGGGAGAAGGGGAAATCTTACAAAAATGGAAAGAAAGAGATAATGAATGAAGAAAGAAAAAGAAGAGGTCAAATAAAGAATGATGGTATGAAGGAAAAGATAATCGAATAAAGGGTGATGATCCATATCACCATATGAATGGTGTGCAGGGATGGAGTCAGGGCACTATATAGGACTAGATTGGTACCAAGAAATTTATTTTTGGAAAAAAGTTATATAGAATTTTTACCTTAAAATTCAGGGCCTTATTAGGCCCCCCTCTAGCTCCGCCCTAACGGTGTGGATTAATTTGTACTGATATTAAAAAGCACAGAGGATTTACAACACTCAAAGGAGATGAATTTGAAGAAGAAATAATTCAAGTGTCAAACACGGGACCGAACTCGGACTCAAGGAGTAGAAAAACGAAAAAAACACCACTGAAGGGGTGCACGTACACGATGTGCATGTCACTAGGCTATGATGTGCAACAAGGATTATTGGACGGGAGGGAGTTGACACTTTGGTGCACAATTCGTGCGCACTCGACGCGCACGCCGTGAGTGCACACGACTGCTCTTAGAAAAGTGTACACGAAAATGCACACGATGGCCGCACGTCCTGCGCAGGGTTTTCACAGGATTTCTCGGTTGCGCTCACGATCATGCGCTCGCCATCCGCGCGAGCATTCGTTGCCATTTTCGCCTCCTTTTTCGCTTTTTTCTATTTAAACAACCCGTAAACCCCGTTTTGGTGTTTAGAGACAAGTCTAGGATGATATTTTCATTGTTTTTCAGCATTGGAACTTCTATATTCAAGGATTCTTTGTGAGGTCTTTCTCTCTTTTAATTAATGACAATTCATTCTTGTTTTCTTAATTTTGATGCTAATACCATTATGAATTGTGAGAAAATTTAATTAGGGATTTGAGATTGATAAAAGGGCGTAATTCATGATCTAGCTAGGGTTCGTTCTTCATGGATTAATTGCATGATCATTATTTAATATGTGTGTGAACAAATTAATTGTTATCTTTTACAACCTGGAAAGTCCGCTAGGATTATAATTGCACACACTATTATAATAATTTAAGAAAGATCTAAATTGTTCTACAATACTTTCACTCGCACCTTGCTACTCGCTAATAGATTAGCACAATTAGAAGCTTGTCGTATTAAAGATTTGTCTGCCTCTCTAAATCATTGTACTCTACGCCACGAGTAGCTAAAATTAAGTGACTCGTTCGAATTAATGATAGAAAGGGATTCGACATTGATTCTAGAGCCATTAGATTTTGGGGTTGATCGGGCTTAATTACATGAAAATTATTTAATTGAGCAACGCTAATCAATACTAAATTCTTACTATTGATTAGTATTGATTATTAAATTCTTATAGTAAGAATTTAGTATTGATTAGCGTTGCTCAATTAAATAATTTTCATGTAATTAAGCCCGATCAACCCCAAAATCTAATGGCTCTGGAATCAATGTCGAATCCCTTTCTATCATTAATTCGAACGAGTCACTTAATTTTAGCTTTATTTATTTCGAACGAGTCACTCAATTATCCATCTCGCAGAATCGCGTTAAATTTATTTATTTTAGTCACAATTTTTTTTAATAATTAATTCCCCTTTTCTATCTCTGTGGAGACAATACTCATCTTACACTATATTGGCACACGTAATTTAAGTGCGAAAAAACACACATAAAAGAGTTGATTTCTCTCTCAATTTCATCCAACATTAATCTTCCTTGTCCTGTGTGGTAATGGGAATACTTAAGATCAGCATGCTACCCAGTTGTGAGATAAGCGCCTCAATTCTAGGTTTCTTTCAGTGTTTGTCATCCGGCCTCCTCCCTTGATGCGACATTCATATTAGGGATTCCAGGTGGTGGGCTAGTTGTATTCTCCCTGTTCCCGACCTCGGCAACCATGCATCACCTGACACTTGAATGTCTCTATCGTTTATGACTATTCTCCGAACATTTTTTTGGATAACAAGTTGAGTGATCTCCCAACTATTATGATAAATATATGGAGGGTTATTACCGACTTGTGCATCCAGAAACAAACACCCAAGCAAATGAAGAACTTTAAAAACTCCACAAATTAAACTAGACTTATCAACTAATTTTTTTACTTGACACACAACTTTTGATTTTGTGGGCTGAATTTTATATTAATAACAACAATTAAGGTTAAATTTAATATACTAGCTGAATTGGCAGAAATTACTTTAGTGGATCATTTTAACTTTTTCCTTTTTTATTACTAAAATATATTTTAAATATAACTTTTTTCTTAACTCAAAAAATTCAGCCGCTTCATCAAAATAAGACGATCCAACCAATTTTTTCCACTAAACATGTAACTTTAATTTTGATTCCGCACATTGGATTGTATAATAATTCAAACAAGAAAGGTTGGAGTTACATTTCTGATTAGTTGGTTGAAGTTACTGTAACAAATTACTTTAACTATTTTTCCATATAATTTTTTCTTCATTTTTGTTGGGTTAATGGCCCAATACTGGAAACCGGCCCATTACCCCCCCCCCCCCCTCCGGACAAACGGCCAGATCTAGACGAACGTCTCCGGCAAACTAGTGGCGGTTACCCACCAGGGCCCAAGGCAGTTGCGACGTACGTCTCCGCCTCAGGCCCTCATCTCAAGGAATCCTAGCCCGAGGTCAGCCAGCATAATTTTACGTTAAGTCCCCAACAACCCAAAGACGCACGTCGTTCCGCCCTTGGTAGCATCATCAGCACTAAGCCCAAGGTCCATAGGGACGCTCGTCCCCAGAAGTTGGGCGGGAAACCGAGATTCTGGAGGGAAGCGCATTTAATGCTAAGGGATTTGGTGGTTGGGACCTTAGCCATCCACAGCTCTCCACGTTAGCATATTCAACTGCCTCTTGGTAGTATAAATAGTATCATTTATTTCGTTGTAAAGGGTTGGAACTTGGAACCTCTTACACCTAGGCCTGTCAATGGGTCGGGTCTAGACCCGAACCCGACCCGGACCCGGTTGTTTTTAACGGGTATGGGTCCTTATTTTATTCCGTTTACCCGGACCCAAACCCGGACCCGTTAGTATTTTTAATAAACGGGTCGGGTATGGTACATATGATTCCGACCCGTTAAGGACCCGGACCCGTTTAAAATTTCTTATTAGTATATATACACACACTAATACATAAAGAGATTAGTTATAATACTTCAAATATAAATACAAACTAATATATATACCACTAAAGTTCAGGTCCGGCCAGGCCGGACCACTCCCTCCGTCCGGCCTCCTCCATTTGGGGGCCTTCCCGATGGTATTTTTTTCTCAAATTTTTTGTGTAGGTTCCTCATCAAGTCTAGTTCATCCATACCAAATTTCAGAAAAAAATTCAATCGGGAAGGTTGTCAAATGATTTTTGCAAGTTAACTGGTCCGGAATATGTATTTTCCGGACCAGTTAACTTGCAAAAATCATTTGACGACCTTCCCGATTGAATTTTTGGCTGAAATTTGGTATGGATGAACTAGACTTGATGAGGAACCTACACAAAAAATTTGAGCAAAAAATACCACCGGGAAGGCCCCCAAATGGAGGAGGCCGGACGGGGCTCCGGTCAAGTATACCTGACCGGAAGACTACTCATATATATATATATATATAAAGTGATTAGTTTTAATTCTTTGATTAAAAAGATACAAATTAATACATACCTAATGTATAAGTGATAATATAATAGTATATAATATGCTTTTAGTCCAAAAGAACTTTTTGTGACCTAATTTCTAGTCTAATATACGAGTTTTCTGTGGGAGAGAAAGAGACACAAAGTGCGGAATTGTACGCATCTACAAGAACCGATATTTTATTCGATAAAAGTACTAATTTTCTATGACAAACCTTGATTTTTTTTTAAAGTGAAGATATATTTTGCTTTTAAATTTGTGCACTTTGATTTACATTTCACATACATGTTTTGCTATTTTTAAAAAATTACATAATCTTGTGTCAAAAAAAATTATATAATGTTGTGCCTATGATACTTGGCGGGTCTACCCGACCCGGTTCCGAGACCCGTTGGATCCGGGTCCGGGTCCAAATTTTTAGACCCGCCGGGTAAACGGGTCGGGTCCGGGTCCTTTTTTTACTTAGTGGGTCCGGGTCTGGAACACTACGTTCCGACCCGGACCCGACCCATTGACAGGTCTACTTACACCTTAGCATTCTAGCATTCTTATACTACCCCCCGTCTCCCTAAGTTTGGGACAAGAGAAGGTGACACGGTTATTAATAAAAGTGTGTTTGTGTGGTTGATATTGAATTGATAAAGTAAGAATAAAGTAGGAATGATTTAGAACCACATAAACTTTACCAACTAAGGTATGAGATAATCTTAGTGGGACGGACCGAAATGGTAAAATGGGACAATCATACCAGGACGGAGGGAGTAGCTTTTAGCATTGTTCGCAACTTTTCTACTCGAGTGTTAGACGAACGGCCGTCGGCCAATAGCTCTAGTGCAGTGTAACAAGACCTTATTATCACTTCATAATACTCGGCTCACTATTGCATACATTCCTAAGCCCATCTTACTTGCTATTTCTTCATATTCGCATACACCCTCCACTCGAAATCCATAGGCTTACGTGTTGGGCCTAAGGGTTGAAGGAATAAACCTCAACAATTTTCTTCAAAATATATATTTTCCAATAATTTAGTAGATTCAGCCAATTTAGCTAGAACATCATCGAGTTCAGCAAATTAAGCCCAATTCAGCCAATTTAAGTGTTATGAAATGGCCTCTAAAATTGACTGGATTAGCCAAGTATTGAAATAAATAGTTAAGATTTATTTTATTGCTAAAATAAATTTAAAATGTATGTAAAATAATTAAAATGATCTTGTATAATACCTTCAGTCAATTCAATCAGAAAAGTAATTTTAACCTTAATTATTCCGATTATCACACAATGTAACACGAGAAATTAAAAGTTACGTATTTGATAGAAAATTATTTGATAAACCGAAAAAAAAGTTACTCCATATCAAACCGGGTTCAATATTTTGTTGCAATTAATTTTGATGTTGGCCGGTTATGGTATATTTCTTCTCTCAGGGGTTGAGCCGAATTTTAAATAAGTAAAGGTCTTGGCCTAACTCTGTAGAATGATTGGTTGATATTCCGTACCATGGACACGTTTATAAACTCGGATGACTAAACTTCCTGGCAAGTCCAGAAAAAGAGAAACACCCAATTACATACCTGACCAAACTGTATATATATTTCAACCCAAACGCAGATTGGATTCATCACTCACTAGTAGCTACTGCTCCTACTCACTCATTCAAAGCTAAGCCTTCGTCTTGTCTCTGTTCTAGCCTTTCAGTTACTCTTCACCAATTGCCCTGCAAATTGAAAACCATCCACAAATGGGGAAGGTATGTACAAATATTTCTCTTCTTGCTCTAAGTTTGAAGCAGCAAAACTACAAATTAAAATTATGTTTGTACTCTTGGATTTCTGAAATCTTGAATTTCCCTTTGAATTGATGAATGTTTTTGTGATGACCCAACCTTAGCTTGTTCTTATAATTAAACTTATTTGGGTTTATATTTGGGCAGCAAAAGGTAGTATTTAGCATCACTATGAGGGATGAAAAGGCTAAAGTCAGAGCACACAAGATTGTCGTTCACCACTCCGGTACGTACTTAATTAGCTATTTTTATATATGGGCGGTTTTATACTCATGCTAATTGATCCAGTTCTGCAGTAACTTGTGTGTATCATATAATACTCATGCTTTCCATATATTTTCCTTTCCAGGAGTTGTTACAACGTCTGTGGACCGAGAGAAGGGGCGGATAGAGGTGGTCGGCGAGTTTGATGCCGTGGCGTTGGCCGTGGAGCTTAGAAGGAAACTTGGTCAAGCTAATATAGAGACCGCGGCCCCTGTGGTTGAAGAAAAGAAGAAAGAATATAAAAAGAATGATGCCCCAACTCCCCAATACAGGACAATCACTTTTGATCCATACACTTCGTATCAAGCGTCTTCTTACTACTATAGATATTAGGCTAAGTGTTACAATATTTAATGATTATGAAAATGTGTGGGAGGCGTGGAATTGTAAATCAATCCACTTTGTAAAGGTACTAATAAACCTATTTATATATATGTTCTTGTCATTTAGGATTCTTTTCTTGCCATCTTTATCAAAATTTTATCAAGGCTAGCCCGGTACAATATATTTGTCGAGCAATTTGAGCCTGGATTTGCTACAAGTCAAGAATTAAAGACAATTTGAACACCAAAATAATTTATAATACGGATTTGCAAGGAGTTGAAATATGCCCATTCATACGAATTTGTAACTGAATCTTTTGTATATGTTTCATTCTTTGAAGTGATTTTAGAATTGTTCACATTATTATCATAGAGATTTAGAGAAGGTGAACCATCTAATATCTTCGATTGGCCCAAGAGAAATGGGAGAGTCACAGTAAACTAATAAAGCGTACTAATAATGGTCCATGATCTCGTATTATCCTTGCGATAACCAATGATGGATAGTCTCAAGTGGGGCGTTAGCATAAAATTGCCCATCTAATATAAAATTTTAAAGAAGGGGAGTGTTCAGAAATGTTAAGGAGAATGTTTGAAAAACAAAAAGAAATGTTAAGGAGAAGGGGAAATTTTATGAAAATGGAATGTAAGATAATGAATGATGAAAGAAAAAGAAGTGGTCGAACAAAGAATGATGGTATGAAGGAAAGAAATGATCGAATAAAGGGTGATGATCCATTAATCTATATGCAGGAGCGGAGATAGGATATGACCAGTCGACCAGAGGGGGGAAGTGAAATAAAAAGAATAGCATTTAAAATATAAATAAAATAAACATTAAATGATGCATCAGTATTCATCTAAAATATTCAAAATACATGATTAAACGTTGTGTGAGATAAAATTTAGAACGTTACATCGTTCTTGCATGTCACGAAAATCATCAATAAAAGAATCCACGCTAATTTGTTTGGCAATTTTTTGGTGTACGGCAATAAGTATTAGCACCTTCTTGAATAATTAAGATTTCCTTACATGAGCATTTTTAGTACATAGTAGTACGCTATTATAATTTCACATTATTATAATTTCTAAAATCTTGATAATAAATTATACTCCGTATAAATGTTAAACAATTAATATTATCTCTTTAGTTAGTATTCACTATTTTTCAATTAAGTATTGAAGTAGTAAAACATATCCCAATTTGTTAACGATGCTAAGAAAATGACAATCACAGGTTCACATTTCTAAAAATAACACAAGTTAAACAACTTAACTAAGTATACTAGACTTGCTAGTCAATAAATAATTAGAAACAAATCTGGGACAAGATTTTCATTGTTTTTTCGAACTTCTAAATTCAAGGATTTTTTGTGAGTTATTTCTCTCTTTCAGTTAATAACAATTCATTATTACTTTCTTAATTCTGATGCTAATATCATTATGAATTGTGAACAAGTTTAATTAGAGATAAAAGGACGTAATTCATGATATAGGGTTCGTTCTTCATGGATTAATTGCATGATCATTATTTAATTTGTGTGTGAACAATTTAATTGTTATTTTTATAACCTGGAGCGTCCGCTAGGATTATAATTGCACACATTATTATAATAATTTAAAGGCTAAAGGGTCAAATAGGCCCTTGAACTGCTTAAAGTGTTCAATTAGCCCCTTATATAGGAGGTTCTGCCCGGTCGTCGCTAATTGGGGCGGTTTCCGGTGAAATTTTTTGATGAAATTTTTTGAACATCTTCTACATTAAGTCTAGTTTACCCATACCAAATTTCAACTAAAAATTCAACCGGGAAGGCAGTCAAATGATTTTCCGAAATGTACTGTGCTGTTTAACTTCGCAGTTATCTTCAAAACATCATTTGACTACCTTCCCGGTTGAATTTTTAGCTGAAATTTGGTATGAGTAAACTAGACTTAATTAAGAAGATGCTCATAAAATTTCATCAAAAAATTCCACTGGGAACCGCCGGAATTGGCGACGGCCGAGCAGAACCTCCTATATAAGGGGCTAATTGAACACTTTAAGTCAGTTCAGGGGCCTATATGACCATTTAGCCGAATTTAAAAGAGATCTAAATTGTTCTAGGATACTTTCACTTGATAAGAGATTAACACAGTTAGAAGCTTGTCGTATTAGAGATTTGCCTACCTCTCTAAATCATTGTACTCTACGCCACAAGCAGTAAGAATTTAGTATTGATTATCGTTGCTCAATTAAATAATTTTTATGTAATTAAGTTCGATCAACCCCAAAATCTGATTGCCCCAAAATCAATGCCCGATCCCTTTCTATCACTAATTCGAACGAGTCACTTAATTCTAGCTTTATTTTCGTAACAATTTAATTTCAATAATCCATCTTGCAGACTCGCATTGAATTTATTTATTTTAGTCACTGAATTTAATTAATAATCAATTCCTCTTTTCTATCATTGTGGACAGGATATTTGTGCTTGCACTCTATACTGTCACACGTACTTTAAGTGCGAGAAAACACACATCAAAGAGCCGATTCTTCTCTCAACTTCATCCAAAATTATTTGTGACAAAAGCGCCTCAATTCTAGATTTCTTCCAGTGCTTAAATTCTCATCATCATCCCTTAATGCTGTGGCATTCATATTAGGGATTCCAGGTGGTCGGGCTAGTTGTATTCTCCCCATTCCCGATCTCGGCAACCATGCATCACCCCACACTTTGAGTCTCCCAATTGTGACTATTCTCCGAACATTTTTTGGGATAACTGGTTGAGTCTCCCAACTACTATGCCAAATATATGGAGGGTCATTACCCAGTTGTGCATCCAGAAACGAGCACCCAAGAAAATGATGAACTTTGAAAATTCCACAAACTAGGTTTATTGACTAACTTTTTTATTTCACTTAACTTTTGATTTTGTGACATGAAATTTATATTAATCACAATCAGTAAGATTAAGAGCCCGTTTGGTAGCAAGAAAATCGACTGATTTGGTTTATTATGATGAAATTTATGAAGTTCTGGCTGAAGTGGCTGCATTAGCTGATTCTGCTGATTTAAGAAAATATTATTTTTAAAATATATTTTATTAATAAAATAAAGAAAAAATTATATGTAAAAATAGCTAAAATAGTCATTTACAGTAACTTCAATCAATACATCCAGAAAAGTAACTTCAACCTTACTTTTTCTGCCTATTACACAATTCAGCGCGCAAAAGCAAAAGTTACGTGTTTGGTGAAAGAGTTGGCTGATAAGCCTGATAAGCCATAAAACAGATAAGCCAAAAAAAGTGTTGCCAAACGGCCTCTAAATTTAATTTACTAGCAGAATTGGCTGAAGTTACTTTAGTAGATCATTTTAACTATTTATCTTTTTTTCTTTTTTATTAATAAAATATACTACCTCCGTCCCGGAGGACGTAGCCAAGTGCAAAGTATGTGAGAAATAAGAATAGTAAAATCTGTCTGGTTGAGATTTGTGCAGAAAAGAGAGAATGTGCAAAACCACAAATTAGTTACTTTAATAGGAAAGTGACAAAATATTTTTTGGGACAACCAAACAAGAAAAGTTGGCAAAGTCCAATGGGACGGAGGGAGTATTTTTGAAATACATAGTAACTTTTTCATAACCCAGAAAATTTAGTCACTTCAACCAGAACTTAATCAATTTCATCATAATAAGACGATTCAGTCAATTTTTTCCACTTAACTCGTAATTTTTTTATTCAAGACACTGAATTGTATAGTGATTAAAATAATTAAGGTTGGAGTTACCCTAGCGTATTACTTTAACTATTTTTCTATATGTTTTTTCTTGATTTTCTTTAAAATATATTTTTCCATTAATTCTGTCGACTCATCCAATTTAGCTAGAACATCATCGAATTCAGCAAATTCAGCCAATTCAGCTAATTTCAGTGTCATGAAAATGAGCCCTGAAATTGACTGAATATGCTGAATTTGAAAACGAATGTAATATTTATTTTATTGATAAAATTGAGAAAAAATGTATGTAATAAAATTAAAAAGATCTTGTATAATCACTTCCTTCAATTCAAAGTAGAATAGTAATTCCAATCATACTTATTTTGATTATCATACAATTCAACACGAGAAATTAAAAGTTACGTGTTCGATAGAAAATTATAAAATAAACAGAAAAATAGTTACTCTCATCAAGCAGGCTTGAAATAGTTTGTTGCAATTAATTTTGATGATGGCCGGTTATGGTGAATTTTTCCCCGAGGGTTGAGCTGAATTATAAAGAAGAAAAGGACTTGGCTTAACTCCATAGAATAATTGGTTGATACTCCGTACAGTGAACACGTTTCAAAACTCGGTTGACTTAATTTCTTCGCAAGTCCAGAGAAAGAGAAACACCCAATTACCTAACCAATTATCCATCTCTCAGTTCTCTCTATATATATGCCAACCCAAACGCAGTTTCAGGCCAGTCTCTGTTCCTACTGCTCCTACACACTCATTCATCTTCAAAGCTAAGCTATTCAGTTTCTCTTCACCAATTGCCCTCCAAATTTAAAACCATCCACAAATGGGGAAGGTATGAATAAATATTATCTCTTCTTGCATTTGAAAACTATGTTTGTACACTTGGATTTCAGAAATTTGGAATTTCCGTTTGAATTGATGAGTGTTTTTGGGATGACCCAGCCTTAGCTTGATCTTATAATTAAACTTATTTGGGTTTATTTGATTGGCAGCAAAAGGTAGTATTTAGCATCACTATGAGGGATGAAAAGGCAAAAGTCAAAGCCCATAAGATTGTCGTTCACCACTCCGGTACGTACAAAATTAGCTCTCTATCTATATATATATGGGATGGGCGGTTTTGTACTCATGCTAATTGATTCAGTACACAAAGTACTGCACTAACTTGTGTGTATCATATAATACTCATCAACTCATGTTTTCTAAATATTTTCTCTCCAGGAGTTGTTTCCACGTCTGTGGACCGAGAGAAGGGGCGGATAGAGGTGGTCGGCGAGTTTGATGTCGTGGCGCTGGCCGTCGAGTTGAGAAGGAAACTTGGTCAAGCTAATATAGAGACAATGGCCCCCGTGGTTGAAGAAAAGAAGAAAGAATATAAAAAGAATGATGCCCCAACACCCCAATACGGAACAATCACTTATGATCCGTACACTTCTTGTCAAGCACCTTCTTACTACCAAGCGCCTTCTTACTACTACAGTTATTCAGCTAATCGTTACAATAATGCATGATTATGAAAATGTGTGGGAGGCACGGTATTGTAATTCAATTTACTTTGTAATGAAACTAATAAACTTATTTATATATTCTTCTTGTCATCTTCGGTTCTTTTCTTGCCATCTTTATCAAATTTTTGTTGAGGCTAGCCTGGTATAATATAATGGTCAAGAAGTTGGGGCTTACAAGTAAGGAATCAAAGACAAATTGAACACCGAATTAGTTTATAATACGGATTTGTAATTGAATATGTTATATCTATTTGTGATTTGAGTTCTTTAACGAATGGTTAATCTTACTAGATCAAACTGGAGGCTTATTGTGGAATTGTACACATCATAATGAACATATAAGAAGTTCCCCTAAATAGAATTTGAAAGTTTAAAATTGGAGTGTTGTTTTCCCAAACAAGAGTAAGGACTATTTACTCTCAATTTTTCGAATGATCTCTGTCTCCACTCTGCCATTTCATCCCAACACTAAACCGCCACCCTAAACCTATGGTGCATTGATACTTCACCTTGATGTTGTATCCGCGTATCTGATACGTATCCGATACCGATACTCAGCGGATACACGTCATGTACGTATTGGGTCTGTACCCGTAATTTAATAAAAGTATCGGGCTAATTTTTAAAAATACTGATACTTCTGATACCCGTATTCGTGATCCAATACACATATCTAACCATGTAACCCTCATTTCATACACGACATGACGAAAATTTAGTAGTCGCCCAAACGAACACAAGATGTGAAACATTGATAAAGATGATTTCGGGAGTATGAAAAGTAATGGAATACTATAATTTGTCATTTATCTCTTGATGAGCTTTAATTGAAACAAGACTTAGATGTAAATGCAAATAGAGAACAAAAACATTCTTTGAATTTAAATTGAAATATTAGTACTTAAGTTTCTTTAACCTAATCTTTGAACTTTTGTTATACCAGTTAATTTTTTGTACTATTATTATTTTATTTAGCCTAAAGGGTCAAATAGCCCTCGAACTAATTAAAAAGTGCAAAGCACCCCTTATATAGGAGGCTCTGTCCGGCTGTCACCATTTGGGGCGGTTCTCGGTGGAATATTTTGATGAAATGTTTTGAGCATATTCTTCATTAAGTCTAGTTTATTCATACCAAATTTCAGAAAAAAAATTCAACCAAGAAGACAATCAAATGATTTTCTGAAATGTACTGCGTTGTTTAACTGCACAGTTATCTTCAAAATTTCATTTGATTGTCTTCCCGATTGAATTTTTAGCAGAAATTTGGTATGAGCACACTATACTTAATGAAGAATATGCTCAAAAAATTTAATCAAAAAATTCCACTGGGAACCACCCCAAATGGCGACGGCCGTACAGAGCCTCCTATATAAGGGATGATTTGCACTTTTTAAGTTAGATCGAGGGCCATTTTGACCCGATAGCCTTTTATTTATGAACCTCCGAAATATATATATTTGCAAATTATAGCTTATATTTTTATTATGTATAAATATACCCCCGTACCCGTATCCTATAATTTTTTAAATTACCGTATCACCGTACCCGTATTCACGTATCGGCGTATTTGTATCCGTGCAACATAGCCCTAAACCTCACCATCACACCCCATAGAGTTGCGGAAACCATGCATGCACCCGCAACACCTCTTTTGCTCTTAAGCTTGTACATTTCCAACTAAAGAGTTAGAAAAGATTTAGGGCGCGTTTGACATTCAATAGTTAGCGGTTAGCGGGTTATGTTAGTGGGTTGTCAATAGCGGATTCAGTCAGCGGGTTTGACTAGCGAAATAAATTGGCGGGTTGTTAAAAGGTGTTTGGTAATTTAGTTGTTTCGCCATAACATTAGTAGAAAACTCGATTTTTCAAAACGTCAACCCAAAACTCTCCTATTAGCAGCATTTTCATTTCAACGTTTTCATCCAAAAACGCTAGTGCCAAACCGCTATTTACCAAACACCTTTTTCACTTATTGAAAATGTTGAAAGTGATCAAACCACCATTTTTCGGATGAAACACTGTTTACCAAACACTCCCTTAAACTAAAGTGCGATTTAAAAAAAATAGTACACTCTTTTTCCATACTATAAGGGTTATCGAATTATGATTTAGACCAAAGTAAGAACCAACATTATGATTAATTATTATGATTGAAAATACACCCAAATTCACTATTATAATGCAAAAGTCAAATTAGAATATGTCAAATTGATGAAAAATAAGAGGTTAAAGGAAAATTATACTAATCTTATTGGTAGTTGTTTCGCTGTTTGTATGTTTAAAAAGAGACCGAGATGGTACATGAACAAAGAGCGACCTGGCCAAGTGTCTGGGTCACGGGTCAACTCGGTCAACGCCGGGAAAACCCGGTCAACATACATACATTTTATAGTACTTAACATATAATTATATAAAATTAAAATAAAAGCTAATTAGTTTTCAAAATAAAGAATAATGTTAATCCTTAGTAAACTAAAAAAAACACATAATATTTTAAATTATGTTTTAATCCTAATTATGTCTATAGTATTATTTGATATTTTTTTGAAAATAGTGTTATTTGATATTTATCCTTTAATTTTCTAAATGGATTTTGTTCTAGAATAAATATTCAAATACATTTTGCTAAACATAAATATGAACGAACATTTATTTATTACAAAATCATAATGTAATATTGTACGAGAATGTTTCAATTATATGTGGAATGTTATTTTGGGGGTGTTTGGAACTGATTCTGCTTCTGCTTCTTTTTTAAAGCAGAAGCAGAATCAGAATCAGTTTTCAGAAGCTGGTCACCCCTAGCTTCTAAAAAAACTGATTCTAAGAGTAAATTAAAGCACCAGAAGTGCTTTTGGAATTTCACCCAAACACTACAGCTTTTGCTTCTGCTCCCTGAAGGAGCAGAATCAGTTTTGAGAATCAGATCCAAACACCCCCTTAAATTACACTGTAATAATATGAAAATTGTCGTAGTTACTAGGCATGTAGTGGGTAAGAGTAAATACAATATTATGTGTGATGTGGTTTTTAAGACTAAGTAGAATTGTGTGGTTGGTATTGAGTTAATAAAGTGTGAATAAAGTAAGAATTAATTGTAACACTCAATTGTTTCATAATATGATATGGGACAAACTTAATGGGATGAACGAAAAAGATAAAACGGGACAAAGTTAGGGGGATGGAGGGAGTATAAGATAGCTACATTCCTACATGTACGTTAATATTAGGGGTGGACCGGTTCCGGTTCGGGCCTGGGCCCGGCCGGGCCTCGGTTCAGAAAAATGAGGCCCGAGCCCGAACCGGTGGTGGGCGGTTCCGGGTCCGGTTCCGGGCCGGGCCGGGCCGGGCCGGGCCACCCGGATTTTTAATTTTTTTTTTCTTCTTCTCTTATTTAACCCCCTACCCCTACCCCTCCACCCCAAACCACCTCAAATGGCCCAAAATACCTAATCCAACCCAAAACTTAAAAAAATTTCAAAAAAAAAAAAAAAAATAAATTCCGGCCCGAACAGGGCCCGGGCCAGCCGGGCCGGTTCACTAAATTGGAGGCCCGGGCCCGGACCGCTTTACCACCGGGCCGGGTGGCCCGAACCGGGCACAAACCGGTTCACCGGGCCGGTCCGGGCCCGCACAGTAGCGGGCCGGTCCGGTTCCGGGCCGGTCCGGTTCCGGGCCGGTTGGCCCGGCCCGAGTCCATCCCTAGTTAATATACAACTTGGGTGTTGTGGTCGCATGGATTGCAGTACGTTGTTGTGCGGAGTAGACTAGGTATTGAATCTCGCAGAAGGAATTTTGGGTTGAGGTTTAAATTTCATCCATAGTCCAGTTTTCTTGGGTTATACGGTTAATTGCGGGTCTGGGTCCAACGCGGGTTCTAGCGGGTTAATGGGTTTTTCCAGGTTCTGGGTGTTTTAAGGGTTGGTTACTGACCGGCCCGCATTTCTGGACGGGTAGACGGGGTTCTGGGTCGGACCGTGCAGTCTGGTTCGGGCTTATAACATGCGTAGTAGCTTTGATGTTTTATTCAAACACAACTTCTAAAATAAGTACTTGTGATTATATTGATACGTTCAAAGTTCACATTTCTAATTTCATACCAAAATACCTTTTTAAATAATGGCATTCTTGGCTATATAATGTCATGAGGATCCATTTTAAATTAAGCCATTTTTAGCATCCATTTCCATTTTTACTCCTAGCAGATGACATGGAAAATCGTGGTCTCATTTTTACACTTTCATCATGTTCCAGTCATATTTGGGTCTATCTCAAATTACAAGTACACTAAAGTGGAAGGGCCAGTAAAGAAGCTACGTGTGCCTTATGAATTTAGGCTGGTTTGCAAACACCGGAAAAAAACACTTTCCAGCTTTTAGCTTAGAAAAGCTAAAAGAAAAGTGTTTTCAAGTGACTTCTACTTAAAAAAAAACTTTTCTCGACTTTTGTGCAAAAGTGCTTTTTACTTTTTATTACACAAAAAACACTTATTTTACCAAACACTATCAACTTTTATTTTTCAAAATCACTTTTTTCTCAAACAGTATCACCTTTTACTATTAATCATTTTTCCCTAAATCACTTTAAAATGTTAAAAGCACTTGGGAGTAGTGTTTGCAAACAAACCCTTAGAAAATTCAGTAGGGACTTGGGCACTTAGCACACCTGCCATTCCGCCAACCATGATCCAACTGAGGATGAGCATGAACAGAAGCCCGAAACCATGGACTATGGAGTAGTTCATAGTTCCGTACAGTATTACATGCGATTTGTAGCTTTTGGATTGTAAAGAAATTAAATTCAAAACACACACAAAAAATGAAACTGTGTGTATACACACAAAATGGCGCATGTAAGAGAATTTATACACAGAATAGAAGAAGACTTTTTTTTTGTTTTACAAGGATGTAACCTTCACATTGCATATTAATAAAAGATAAATGATAGAGATAATTTCAATCATAGAAGTAAAACATGTTAAAAGGCAAATATACTTGATATTTAACATGTCTTAAATCTGAGTTTCTTATTGTCACAAAATACTCCAAGCCTACAGGGGTCGGGGTGAGCAACTAGCCTGCCAGAGCTGACAGCTAGTCTCCAAACCGCTACCAGATTGTCACCACCAATCGCCGTCGTCAGGCTTTTGCCACCACCGCATTGCCCTGGTTGTGCTGAGAGGAACTAGAGGTCAACTAATTATCTCAAGGGTAAAAGGGTAGTGTTTGGTCCTAAGGAAATATAAAAATTGGACACCTATTTAGGGAAAAAACGACCATGTTTTACTTTAAAGGGTATTGGTTTAACGAATGACTAGCAAAAGTTTCCGAAGTTAAAATAAAACACAATGTACACAATAATAACCACTCTTATTAATTCTTATGTGAAGATTTGTGTTGGAACAATATTCCAAGTTTTCCTTGTATCTGTAGAGAAGTACACAATGTGTAGTTCAAGGCTTCACCCACCTTGAGCTCTAGTTTGGTGGGAGGGTTTTGGAGAATGAGGGAAGAGGAGGAACAATTTTTACTTCATACATTAATTTTATAGTTAAATTCTTGAAAAACGAAGGTAGAAGATCTACAAAAATTTTGTTATTCTCTGTCTAGGTAAAGATAAAATATTGTAAAATAAAAATTAATCCTCCATTAATCATTCCTCCGAAATCTCTAACCAAACCCACTCTTAAGTAGCTGGTCCCTCTTATGAAATCATTTCGTCCAAACACTTTTAACAATATTTGTAATACTTTTTAGAGTGTCCATTGAAAAAAGTATCACAAATTCTGCTAAAAAGTATCACCATCTAACTGTTTTTTGTCACCCATATTTTTCTGTCTATATAGGTTATAATACATTCATACATTGTCTTCAGGATTGAAGCTAACCCCAAAAGAAAATGTTACAAGAAATAAACCATTAAATCAGCGAAAACATGGTACGTATTAGAGTCGACTATAATCAATCTTAGGGCAGCAACAAAAGCAGCAAAAGATAAGCAACCAAAGAAGACAACATTCAACCAATGCCAGCTCTTCTCCAAGGAAGACAGCCGGCTTCTTTTAGCAACCATGTACATGTGGTTTGTGAGAATGAATGTGAGAGGAAACACACTGGTGGCCCCGTTAAGGCTAATGAAGTCCCCGATGAAAGGCAGTAGAGATGCTAGGAATGTGGTGAGGACTAAATAGCCACCCCTGACCAAAGTTCTGAATCTCAGGTTACGCGGGATGAGCGTGCTTCCTTTTATCCCATATTTTGTGTCCAAATATTCGTATGTCGGGCTTGCAAATATCTATAGTGGATGCATGTAAAGGAGTGATGAGGTAACAATGTAACATGTGTGAGATCCTGTTGGCAAAATATGGCTGAAGTGTCTGAAATTGTGATCCAATTGGCTTAATGAACCAGTTCGTATAAAAAATCATTTATTTTAAATGTATTATATTTTTGAAAGCCTAAAAGAAAATAAGGGTAAAAGTATCATTTTTCTTCATTCGAATCATTTCAACCCAAAAAAACAAGGCATGATTTATTTCTATTATCTAGTGCAGAGTAAAGTTTCTGTTGAATTGGTCGAATGGACTTGATAATGCATGCAAAAACAAATTAGGATATCTATATATAGGGGAAAATTGTCTGATAAGCCCTTCTAGTATGGTGAAAACGTCAATTCAGTTCTCGTACTATCAAAATACTCAATCAAACCCTCTAACTATTAAAAAACATCCGGTCCAGCTTTTTAGCCAATCAACTACTGATTAGTCGCGGTACTCGCTGACATGGCTGTCCACGTGACTGTTTTTTCTTGTTTTAGACATATCAGCAACCCACGTCTTAAACATCTCACCTTCCGATCTCCCATCATCTCTCCCGTCTCTCTGTCTCTCTAAAGCTCAGACTCCACCAACTGCTAACAATCATCCAGAGATGCTGAAACTCCACCAAATGCAGCAATATGCTTCTCCAATTTTGTCGCTTTTGAAGAACATAAAATCCATCAGCCCTCATAGACCGCACTTGAATCCTCCATCTATCATGAGGTGGGTAAAATTAGGACGCACGACATCCAGATCCCTCATAGACCGCACTTGAATCTTCCATCTATCACGAGGAGGGTAAAATTAGGACGCACGACATCCAGATATTAAATCCGGGCCGGAATCGTTTTCTGATGGTTTTAACCATGTTTCTTCAGAGGAGTCTCGCTGTCGCCGGTGACAAATGGTTGCTTTTGGTGTTCCCCAAAGGATAGATGGAAGAAAAAGAGTGGGAATGAAAAGATGTATTATTTGTACGAAATTTACAAATAATCTGGAGAAGAGGGGTGGGTTGCTTTTAGATTTGAGCTCTTCTCCTAGAAGCAGTACTAACGTGAAAACATGGTGAAAAAAATTGAGTGAAGAGGATTGGAGAAATCAGAAGCGGCGGAGTTTTTTAACACAGGAGAAGAATTGTTGTGCCCATATTTGATTTCACTTTTTGGTTCTTCGTGGTATTGATGACATGTCATGAAATATTTCAAAAAAAAAGAAAAATAAACACACAGAATTGATGACATGTCATGAAATATTTCAAGAAAAAGATAAATAAACACCCAGAATTGGCCACGTCAGTAACGGCTAAAAGTCAGATTGGAAGTTTTTTAAAAGGTTAAGGGTTTGATGGAGTGTTTTGATAGTACGAGGACTGAATTGACATTTTCGATATAGTAAGAAGACTTATTTGACAGTTTTCCCAATAAATAAAGTAAATCATACTCCTCCACCGTTTACATTGTACAGTTGTGGATAGTAGGGGAGACAAGATGAAAAGGTATAATTAATAGAAAAATTATGAAAGAGAAGATAAAAAGGTAAGAGTGTACTTGTTTAGTGCAATAAAACTTGGCACATTAGAGAAGTGGAACAAATAATAAAATACTTCCCGAAAAAGAAAATAAAGCAAATATTAATAGCATAAGAAGTATCTAAGAATAAGGATAAAAGTGACATTTTTTCTTCCAGCCCAAGTAGTAGTAATCATTGCAACACTACTTTCTATTACAGCAGATTCAGATGCCATTGTGATTCGTTCGGTATCCTCAGTAGTCTTTGACTTGCTTATTTTGTTAAAATGGATATCAGCACACATTTCCTTTAGCAAATTGAGTCATTTCAACTCAATAACTCTTTACAAACAGGCCCTGATTTAGTGGTTGGTATAAAATTTGGCTGATAAACATCAAACTCTTCTACCATGCGAGCATGTATGCAAGAAGATAGAGATATATCTAAAAAGGATAGAGCAAAAAAACTGCAAAATAACCAAGTAGAGATGGGCACACTTACATGCAAAGAGATGATAGCTTGCAAGAAAGCACATATGTTAGCAAATGCCTTTAACCAAACTGGGCCATGGACGTTATTGAGCAAATAGGCCGATGAGCTGGAGCCATAAGCCCAATACCCCACGAATGTAACAGCAAGCATTGGCATCACTCCTACTGTGAACTGAAAGTAAAGTGCTTTCATCATGTTCCTCACCGCAGGTTCTTTAACAGTAGCCTGTCATCCCCGCAAAAGTTAGTAATAGTTGTAGTAATTATAATATTATAATATTTATAAAATTAATAGCTATAACAATGATGATGATGATACTCAAGATAAACTATTGACTGAAAATGCTTGAAGAGAAAAGCAGAATACATAAAAAGAACTGAGGAGAGGGGAAAATGATATTTTGTTTAGGGGAGAAATAAGGAACAAAGAAAGAAATAAAACGGGTCCACCTACCTTTTGGCTATTGATAGCTCTTCTATACAGTGAACTGTGAAGTAATAGGGGATAAAACTTTACATAAAATCAGCTCTTTTCCTCACACATTTCGTTCTTCCACTTTTTATCTCTCAAACTCTATCTGCTTCCTTTCCCACTTATTCATTTGTCTTATTGACCAAACAAAGCCTCAACGGCCCTCAAGTACTAAGCAAGAGAAAATTCCTTATGGCCCTTACTTAGTTGCTGTGGGATTGGGATGGTAAAACATTTTCCTGAAGGGAAAAGTTTCCAAAATTCTTTGCATGTTGCGCAAAAGAACATGCTTTGTTTATTTCCCCTGATCTTGTATATTCCACTTAATATAATCTAAATAAAAGAGGCGCGCAAATGCTAACTTGTATCTCTGGAATCATTCCTGAATTAAAAGCAAACACTACGTTGCCAGCTGCACCAATAGTTGTAAATATTTTGCCTATTGTTGTTCCCGGGATGTTATAGTCTCTAGGAGGAGCATTTACACCTATAAGATTAAAAAAAAAAGATTGCACAAATTTGAAAAAATGCTGAAGGAATTGCTATAATATTAGATCCAAGAATTAAAAAAAATAAAGACAAACTAAACATATGGAATTCCATGAATAATGTTTGGTATAAATATTATTTTTTTAACGTAATTATATTCCTACAGTATTAAAGATAAAAATACAAACAACTTGTGTATTCACTTATCCATACAATATGGCAATCCAGTACACAGAAAGGTAGAGAGCATTCTAAAAACATACATGCATCCAAGTTCCAACTAATGGTTTTAAAAGTTTTCAAGGAAAATTGGGGTCCATACCATCTTTGATAGACAGGACAAACGTGGCAAGAAGGTAGACCAAACTAAGAAAAGCTGAAACCCCAAGCCAGATCCTAAGTGCTGATAAATGAGGTATAGCAACAGCGAAGAGGAGACATGCCACTCCAGCTATTATAATGAAGTAAGGAAGCTTCATCACATGGTCATCTCTAAAGAGAACATAAAAGGCCTGGAAATCATAATTGAACAAAAGTGTAGGGAATCAAAACAAAACTCAGGGAAGGCCACCTACTAATCATCTACTTAGATAAATCAAAAGGCTTGGACGTCCATATTTTGAAGGCCCGTTTAATATACAGTTCCTGGGTTTATTCTGATAAAGCCTAATTAACAGAGGCTTTTCATTTTCTTATTTTGCTGACAAACACTTCAGCTTTTGCAAAATTTACCACATTCACTTTTGCCAAATGCAAACCAAACAGATGCTTGGAATTGTACATCAAAGAAGTTGAAGCCATGGAAGTAGACAATGAAAAACATATTCGTCTTGGTTGGATTACTTTGGTGGTTGGGGTCAGTATTTTTTATTCGATAGGTATACAGTTCCAGGATTTATTCTGATAAAGCCTGTTTAAGAAAACACATAAGGCTTTTCATTTTCTTATGTTGCTGACAAACACTTCAGGTTTTGCGAAATTTACCGGATTCACTTTTGCCAACCAAATGGATGCTTAGAATTATGCGTCAAAAAAGTTGCCATGGAAGTTGACAATGAAAAACCTATTCATCTTGGTTGGATTGATTTGGTGGTTGGGGTCAGTATTTGAAATTTGAATGACTCAAAATTTAGATAAAACTACATTTTAGAAGATGGAAATTCACCCAATTCCCGGAAATTGCAAACCTCATTACCCATGGTGTCAGGTTCAAAATGCTCATGAATTTTAATTCCAAATGTGGGTGTGTCGTGTGATAAATTGAGATTGAGATCCAAAACAAGGCTTTAAAGGATTACTTTGTTTCCTTTTTCTTTATCATATTCTCATACTTCTCACTCAAGTTATTCTGCCTCTGTGTTCCATCTATTTCAGGTATGTACTTATTTTTTGTGGGGCGGGGGGTTGATCTAGCCTCAGTCATTCTCTGAAGAATGATTTTGACTTTCCTTGGACATTTTCCATAGCCTTACCCTTTCTAATAATCCCTCCGCCCCTCGGGCCTTCCCTTAAAACAAGAGTGCAAAAGTAGTGTCAAAAACAGTGCCAAACAGCGGCATTTCCTTAGTATGTGGGCAAAAGGAAGTGGGACTTTTAAATAAGGAAGGAGGAAGTATTATTTGCATGTTTCTAATAATAATAAATTGATTATTATTCTTTTTCTTGGTGGGGTATATCTTACCTTTAAGGCCTGGCCACCAAGAATAACATACCCAGTGTTAATCAAGAATAGATTTGCAGACTGCAATGCCCAAACAAGTGAATAAACAGTTGGACCTGCAACAATTTGGTTATTATTCTGCTTGTGCGGATAAGCATAATAATCTGATCAATCATGCCAAATGGGGTTATTATTATTATTCATATTACCACATACCATATATAAAGCCTGCAAGGTCTCTATATCTGATATGCCTCTTTCCTCCAAGTTCATGAAGCTTAGCTATAAGCGTACTAGCATATAGCGATATAGCGGTGGATAGGATCAACCCAACCACACCGCCTACCCAACCTAGTGGGACCATAATAGCTCCAGCATACCCTAGAGCATACGCACTGTTGATTCCCGTACTTAGAACAACTCCAACTTGAAACCATGAATCTGATTTTTTGGCAAAACCCCACAAAAGAAGAAAAATAAGTAAACAGGATTTGAAGCAAGTAGTAAAATTTTGCACTAACGCGTGAACAAAAAAGTTGAAATGTTTGATATTTATGCCGTTCATAGGCAAAATCAATATGCTAATATCATCTGGTAGGCTTTTTTTGGAGGAAAAGAATTAAAATAATAGTGATCAGATTTTAAATAATAAACAAGCCTAACAAGTCTAAACAATATATAATAACAGCTTAGTTGCATTATCAGTTTAAACTTAAAACTCAGACAATTATGAATTAGTATACTTTAACAATTGACCGCTATCTTCATCAACAACTGAGGTGATCATATACGCTTTCTGATCATTAGATCCATGCGAATAAATTATTATTCGATACAAATTTCCTGAACTGGTGACAGAGTTTTAGTAAACACAAATTTCCGAAACAAACAGATCATTAAACCTATAGGGTAAACAGGGCAAACTTAAACGGATGAAATTATCAGATACTGTGAATAGTGTGTGTAATCAATTATCACCATTCATCACAAGCTTCTAGGCATGCTATAAATTTGAATCTTAACAAACAGATCCAGTCAAATTTTTCACTAAACATCTAATTTTTGATTTCGCACCCTAAGTTGTGTAATAATAACAAAAAACAAAGTTGGTGTTATAGTTGATTTCACGCGTTGAATTGTATGATATAGTAAAAAGTAATGAAACATTAAATTTTTCACATAATTTTTCAAATTTTGTTAATACGAAGTACTCCGTAATATTAATTTCTTTCCATAAATCAACAAAATCAATGCATCAGATTCAGGTATTACGAAACGAGCCTTTGGACTTGAATAAAAAAAAAGTATACACTTGAAAGGACAAGAATTTCATAACAGAAACACCAATCGAATGAAAAAGTAAAAACGGAGATCACCCACCATTGCTGACTTGATGAGCAGTCTCTGGAATTTCAATCTCGCCGTCGCCATGGGAGCTCCCAGAACCACCTTCGTCTCTGATACCCATCACCGCCCTATCTTCTTATTGCGCTGCTAGGCGGATATATACAAAGATGAAGACATCCTGCAACTACAGAGTCGGAATATATAAATCCAAAATGGAAGCTCTTAGGCCGGTCGTTTTGTGATGAAATTGATACTCATATCTTAGAGCTTTTACAGTTCCCGGACTTGCTATTATTCTATTAGGGTGCCTGCAACCCATGTTTTTTTTTTGGGGTCCGTGTGCATGGGCACATTCACCCCCTTCCGCTGCACGCTGGACAACAGGAGGAATGGAGGAGCTGCCATATGTGCGGGTCCCAGCTCTGCGCAGCCTTTTGCAGGAGTACTGTGCGGTCCAAATGAAGACGTGCTTTGTACTCGCTCGAGGTCTTCTTTGCTTCAGACGTGGCCAGCTCTTGGGGCTGGCTGGAATTAAAAAAAAAACATTTTAATTTATTCATCTTTATAATTCCTCTAGTATTTTACTTTATTATACAAAAATCTCGATCATAACTTTTACTTTTTTAACTACTTTAATAAATATTGTGTCAAACACAAAGGGGACACATAAAATAGGACGGAGACCGGTGGGCGTAGCTCAACTGGTAGCGAGGGAGTGCCACAAGGTTAGGTCTTGGGTTCGAATCCCGGCAACTGCGATGAGGGGTTATTATGCTGAAAAATGCATAGGGCTTCTGCAAGTACCGGGGAAAGAGTCTCACTCTCTATCTGTCAGATTGTGATTATAGTCCAATTTACATCCTCCCATCGTGCCGTCCGGTCGGTGTTGGGGGGCCCTCAGGGATGGGGTGTCATCCTTTTTTTTATAAAATGGGACGAAGGTAGTATTATTTGTAGTTGGACTGAAATACCCTAAAGCCTGATAAACCCTACTGCAGCCACCCGTTAGCCGCCACCAGTCTCCGACAAGACCACTACCAGTCGCTGGATGCCGTTTCCACTGCAGATTTGACCTCGCAGTAGTAGATCTGGCTAAATCTGGAAATCGTCGGCCGCCACTGGCTGCCGCCGCCAAGCGTTGCTCTTACGGATTCCACCTCCATCACTACAGATCTGGCCACCACCACCGCTACTGCCAAAATTTTCATCTAAAGGCCAACGTGAATCGAGAATGCCATTGTAATGGCATTTTTAAAGGAAAAAATGCAGTTCGTATACCATGCGACCGCCTCACCATAAGCATCATGCTCCCACTCCCAAAACGATGTCGTTTTGGGCAATTTAAAAAGGTAAAAGAAAAAGAAAAATCGCGTGAACAGTGCACGCGTGTACAGTGACATTGTTTTTTGTCCCAGTAACATGGATGGTGTAACTCTCATGTAAAGATATGTAACTCACATTATTAATCAATGTAATTCAAGACCATCCAAAATGTAACTTGTCAAATATGGATTTCAATGTAAACAATGAAAAAAGAGAATCTAATTGCACAATTGTTTGAGGTAAAACGTGAATATGTTTTGTTTTTAATATCATGATCATAAAAAATGATTTTTTTAGTAAAGACCATTTTTTTGTTTCAATAGTAGGGGTTGATTTTTTAATGTAACTCGTGTTATTACAAATGTAACTCGTGTTGATGGCAAATATAACTTGGATGTACACAGAATGTAACTTGTTAGAAAATTGAACAATGATTTTCTTTTGTGTTTGAGATATTATAAACATTGATTTCAATGCACACAATGAAAAATTGATCTAAATAGCTTAATTACTTTTTTATAAATAGTGAATATGTTTTATTTTTAATATTAGAGCAATAGAAATGATATAGCTGGAGTTTATTCCGTGTGTAACTCGCATACATTAAGATGTAACTCGCGTATATTAAGATGTAACTCGTGTACATTGAGATGTAACTTGCGCAGAAGAAGATGTAATTCCATCATATATTATCAAATTTAACTTCAAAAATAAAAATAAACAAAATCAATGTCTTAAAAATTAAACCTCTAAATTATTATAAATTCAATAGTAATTTCAATTGAAGAAAAAAAGTAAAAAAGTTGTGTATGATTTTTTTATGGCAAAAGTAGTGTATGATTATTAATGCAATATACTTATTTTATGTGGATTAATAAAATTTTGTAACAAATTTTTCAAAAGAAGTTAATTGATCAATTATAATTAAATTAGTTTAAAACAAAGATAAGCAAAAAAACATTGGAAGATTAAAAATGCCTGGAGCATTGGATGACTTGAGGGAAAAGAAAGTGGGTGGACTTAAGGGAATTTGGGAAAAGAACAAAAAAACATACGTAGTGCTCCCATTAGAAAGAAAAACGGTGTCGTATGTGGTACAAGCATACCATGCTCAGGTACGCCGGTACCACGGTATAATTTGCCGAAAACATGACATTTTGGAAGATTAAAAATGTCATTTTTATGGCATTTTAAAAACAAACTTAATTTTTTTTCCCAATCAAAGCAGATGAAGAAGAAGTTGTCATCAATAAACGCATATGGGCCAATGGAGATAAGCATCTCAATTTTTCGGGATCTCAAATGAGGGAGAAAGAGATAAACAAAAAAGAACGGAGGAATTAACGAAGAAGGAAGAGACAGTGAAGAACGAGTCTCAATTTCAACACCAGATCTGAAATCATTGCTGGACACCGCCACTCACCATCACTCCTTCACCACTCGTCACCGTTGTCTGTTGCTCTCACCACATATCTCCATCAGCGTCCATCTCAATGTTGAACATGAAGAATGGAGAAGCCTGGTGCGGATAGTTTATTGTGCCAGGGGAAGAACAGGAAGCCTAGGGCCGTATGATTAAAACGAAGGGGTAAAATTGTAACAATAGTCCTATTTAAGGAATAAAAATATACATACTCCCATTTAGAAATTTAGGCAATAATTTAGTCTTGTTTGTTGGGAAAATGTGTTGAAATTGCATTAAATGGTCATTTTGGTGCAATTTTTTGAGTGGGGTCCACTTCCGATTTGGTTCGGGTCAAAGTGGTTTCGGATTGTCCTTGCTTAGGGCTACAATTCGATATATGGTACGCTCAAAACGGATAACGGGTGAATGAGAAATTGATTCTCGAAGTTCACTCGTTGAAATGGAGAAAACTAGGAAAAAAGGTGGGTTTCTAGAGTGGTTTTTTCCCACACCGGAAAACCCGAGGGAATTTGAACCCTTTATAAAGGGAAACCCCCTTAAGGAGTTAAGATTTCTTAGGGTAAAGGCTCTCTCTACGCGCACAGGGGGGTGCGAATCAAATCTCGAAACCGGAGAACAAAAAGTGCCACTTGCACCTCTGAAAAACACCTCTAACTTCTGAAAACATTCCTTAGTGTTCATACTATTGTTCTCGTTCGTTAGAATTATTCGGTTGAGTGCTCAACGAATAGCTCGTGGTCATCGTATCCTGGGAAACGGTCGTTGAAACGCTCCTAGCACCCCGGGAGGCAACGAATACGTGCTAAGGAAATCGTGCGTAGCACGAACTTTGGCTTTTTCTACTTCATCTATTTTCCGTGTTCGTTTTGTCATTTTCCTTAATTAATTTTTTATTAATTAATTTTTTTATTTTTTCGAAACACACCAAATGCTGTTTAGGGCAATAACTCTTTTTTTTGTGTACTATTGTTTCCACTGTGGGATATATTCAAAAGTTTACTACATTTACCCATTAATGAATGTTTTATCAATGAAAATACGTCAATACTCTTATACGAGTACTAGATTCTTAACCCGTGCGTTGCACGGGATGTGTAGTTTATATGTTTAATTTTGCCAAATAAAACATTTGTACTACCTCCATCCTGAATTGATTTACAAATTTGACTTTTGTTGGTCAAACAGTTTCGTTTTGTTAACTTAATTAGGATGTCAACTTTTAATTACATTCAAATTTGGAGTTTACAACTTTGAAGAGATTTTAATGTAGTTTATGAATAAGGAAGTTTTAATTATTAAAAGTTGAATTAATTATCAAGAGGGAGGATTCACTTTTATTATTGATTGACCAAAAAATGTTGAGTTTGCAAAACAAGTTGAGACGGAGGGAGTATTTGATTTAAAATATGATTTATAAGGCTGATAAGATAGATACATGGATTATCAAAAGGCCTTGAATTGAATGATAATACCGTTAATAAGAGCATAAAAATCATTCATAAATACCCAAATTTAATTTAGAGAAAATTCTCTAAATAAGACCAAAACATGAATTAAATTCATAAATAGGACCATCAATGTTTTATTCCCAAAATAGGATTCATTCACTCCTATTATGGGAAGTCTTAATCAAGTTATTTTTTAATAGGACTAACTAAGTTAGAAGGATCTATTTTGCCAGTGATTTTTGTATCACACTCGTTTGATGGTTAGCGATTCGTATTGCTCTTTCGAGGGTGATCGTTTCAGAGTCTAGGCGTAGGGTTGATTATGCTAGTTGGTTAGGGATAGTTGTTGTCAGGGTTGGTTTCGTTTAGTTTGTTGTAACGATCCGATTCCTAATACTTTTAATATAAGGATTTGTTTTGATGATAAAAAATTGATTGGCTGGTTCAAATTCAATACGGATGGTGCATGCAAAGTTTCAAAAATGAATTATGCAAAAAAACAAAGAACGATAATAGAGGTATTCAAACCCTGCAGCTCCGCAATGGGAAATGACTCCAATTTCATGGATTCCCCCATTCCATTGCTAAAGTCTTTCTATTACTTAGGAGCATTTGTTTTAAATACACATTTATTAATTAATAGCATCTAAAATATAAATAATATACGATAGTATATAGATATATTTTTTGAAAGTCCATGGAGTCCCGGGGACCCCGAGGAACTCTTAGTGGGTCCGCAAGTAATTCCTCCTAATTTTCTATGCTCATACTTTGAATGCTTTGTATTTTCAATAATACTACCTTAAATATTGAACCTTGCATTCTATGCTCACACTCTCCTGAATGCTTTTTTTTTTTTGAGAAATTTCCTGAATGAAATCATTAGTTTTCAGTTTTAGAAACCGGTCCAGATTGTTTATCAATGTATAGACATTGATATATTCGTGTAGTCAAGCTTCCCATACTGTGCACGGAATACGATTGTCCCTAGCTAGTTAGTGGGCACCAGAAATAATACTTACTCCCTCCGTCCCCTTTTAAATGTCTCGTTTTACCATATTGGGATGTCCCTATTTAATTGCCTCATACCTTATTTGGTAAATTTTGTGTGGCTCAAAATTATTCTTACTTTATTCTTACTTTATCAATTAATATCAACCACACAAACTCACTTTTCTTAAAACTCGTGCCACCATCTCCCGTCCTATTTAAAAGGGGACGGAGGGAGTATTATTGTATATGCTTTATATATTATCATGAAAAACACGGAGTACTATTTATGAGCAATTTTGTTTTTATATATT